TGTAGTGGCAATTCCCCACATTCTGATTCTGTGGCCTTTGGTGAATTGAATGTCTTAAACTTGCTAAAATACAGCCATGACTTGAAGCCATAACTACCACACAAATGCAAGATAGAATTACAGTTAGTAACCAATCACCAGACAGCATGGTCTACTGGAAAGGACACAATATTTTTTAATTGTTATTTTTTGAGGTGAAATTCACGTAATATACATGAAATTGAAACTTTTAAAAAATACCCTAGGTTTACATCTCAACTCTGCCTCTTCCTGGGCAAGTCACATCCCCTCTTCTGAGCCTCCTGTCTAAGGGGGGATGACAATAAGAGCACCTATTTCACAAGTACTCTTAAAAGATTTTTCTGTAGGTTTGTTGTAAGGAACAAGTTTAATAACAGTGTTTGGCTTAAACGTTCAGTAAGTGGTAGCCGTTATTAACAGATAATAATAAAATGCCACAATAAATGGTTCACTGAAATACCTCTGTCCTGTAAAAGGAGTATTAGATCCTTAAACCACCAGAGTATGGCACTTAAGTCTGATTTTCTCTATAGCACCTTTTTCTATTATGCTCAGCAAGCGGGATGCTTCTGCCATGCAGATTATCTCCTGCTTGGGGAGATGAAGAGATGAAAATTGAATGGCATCCAGCCCTGGTTATGTTTTGGCATCTTTTCCCACTGGTGGTATCATGGCAGCCTTGTAATCCATATGGTGTTCTCTGATGCTCAGCGACTCCAGGAGGTGTTCAGAGAGAATGAAGACGGCATCGTAAAGTGTCACATACTAAGGATTGTGCTTATTGCATGAAGCTGTGAACCCCAGAGAGCTACAAAAATAGCTTGCTGTGATTGAATTTCTGCTTTTTATTTTTTTGGTTTTGTTTATGCATTAATGTCCCGCCCTCCCCTTTTAGACAGAGCACATGCCTTTAAAAAATTCTAATTGTATGTTTGCTCAATGGTGTGTAATTATATATCAAGTAAATATATAATTAGGGAGTACTTTAAATTAATATTATTTACTTGATTGGTTTAATGATTCTGGAGCTATTAGCCTATTGTGCTAAGGATAACTTATCCAATTTTTAGCTGAGAATCATTAAACAAATTGACATTTGGCATGTGTGGAAGGGTAACATACTGTTTTAAAAATGTTATTTAAAAAATTATTGCCTGAGAAAACAAGTTGCTTATACTTTCATACAGTTGCAATCTGAGAAACAATGAAATTGATTCACCTGTTCCTTGTTTAAGATACTGCACATGACGACAAATCTTATTATAAGAAGGAGTGGCAAATGGGGTTCATTCCTGAGCACCCACCTTATGACCAACACGTGGACACTGGACACTGTGTCAATGAAGAGGTTATGGCCTCTCTTCTCATGGAGCTCGTTGTCTAGAGGGAAGACAGAGATAAACAGTTGATTTGAATGTAACGAGAATCAAGCTAGTATTTATTATGTTTACATTGTGCTACTTAATTCTTACAACAGTCATATAATGCTGATTTGCACTTCACACACAGAGAATTGAGGCTCTGAGAGGTTAGCAACTTGCTTAAGGTTGATCAGGTAATCAGTGGAGAGAGCCAAGGTGAAAACCCAGGCTGTGACCTTAACGGTGTTGTTACTGATGAAGAAGCTTCAATAGATGTAAATGGTCTAGTGTGGGGGTACAAAGATATGTAAGCCTTTCTGCCTGGGGGTATTAGAGAAATTGTCAGAGGCAAGAGAGCAGTTGAGCTTGGGTTCTGAAGGATAAGTAGGAGTTTACCAAGGGATGAAGAGAAAGAAAACATTGCAGATACGGAGCAGATTGTATAAATGTGTATTTTGTAGTTCCTCTGAAGGCAAAATTTATCTTCCCAATTATTCTTTTTTAAAAAACCAGTAATTCATTTTCGTTCCTTCGGAACATGTTAATGGGGAATCTGTTTGGGAGTAAGGAACGAGTCAGAAACACCTCTGAACCATGTTGAGTAAAAGAGGCAAGCTGTTAATGGAGTTTAAATTGACAGAGGCCCAGTACTAGGTCACCCTGGATTGCTTGGTAGCTATGCCAAGCATTTAAACTACTTTGTTTAATAAACCACACCTGTCATTTCCAAAGGTCTAGGAAATGAGTATCCTGGAAGATTCTTTGCCACCACCCCACAGTCATCTGGTAGAAAAATAGTTACAAATTAACCGAAAGGAATGAAATTGAAGAAAGACCTCCGCAAGTTTGCTTTTACATGTCAGTTTGACAGAGACCACAGATAGTTTCCCTTTCATAGTTTGATGAGTTATTACTTGGTTATTGGAAAAGGGCCAGCCAAAGAGATTCCTCCTGCCTCCCTTTTCCTGCTGTCAAACAAAGGAATTTGAGACATTTGGGTTTCTTAGGCTTGTGGTGGTAGTGTTGCAGAGCACTTTCTGATGGAGCCATCCACCTAAAACCGTTCTTTATCAGAACGCTCTACTCAGTTAATGGCACCTCCTTTCACTGAGCTCTACAAGATGGAAAACTGGTAGTCATCCTTGACTCTTCCCCCCAACTCTCTCTGAAGTATGCCCCTTCACACACACGTACTGCCACCATGTACTCAGTCTCTGAGTCCTATGTACAGGTATTCCACCTCCTCTTTATCTCTTAAATCCCTCTGATCTTTTTTACCCCATGGCCACTTAACTTATCTAAGCCACCGTCATCCTTTACTCATGTCATTCACATCCATCCTCCATACTGGAGTTTGAGAGATCTTTGGAAAAGGCAGATCTGAGAGTCACTCTCTTTCTTCACCCTTTTGTGCCTGGTGGTACATATAGTGACCATGGGTTTTTCAGCTTCTGGGGTTTCGTGGGAAGCTTTTGTACCATTGACAGCGCATGTTGCTGCAAGGCAGGGGCCTTTATGACTATTTGAAACCAAAGAAACGGGCGTGTGCCACAGATTACTGTTTTTACAGTGTATTGTATGAAGTGTCTGAATATTTGGTAAGAAAAATAAGAATTCTGAACATTTTAATTTTTTACATATATGTACCAATAGACGCCAGTGGATACTCTGGGGGTAATTAGTGGTACTTCATATGTGCCACTAAACACTTAGGGTAGGCTTGTGGGAGGGGGCAAGAAAAAAAATCCGTACTGTAAAAACTCAAACCTGTTGCCGTCGAGTTGATTCCAACTCATAGCGATCCTATAGGACAGAGTAGAACTGCCCCATAGGGTTTCCAGGTATTGGCTGGTGGATTCAAACTGCCGACCTTTCGGTTAGTAGCTGAGCTCTTAACCACTACACCACCAGGGCTCCAAATCCGTATTACCTACCAAAAATTCAGACACACTCAGTGATTCAGCATGCTTCCATTAATGAAAACACATTGTGTCAACAAAAAATTCAAGCAGAAAATAATTGGGTCACCAAAGCTTTAAATGCTTCTCCCAGCTCCTTACAAGCTACAAGGCCTGGTGTGATCTGACCCCACTGTTCTACACTCTCACCTTTCTGGGTTTCATTCATATTTTTCAAGCATAGCCAGCTTTATCTGATCTCAGGGCTTTGCATTGGCAGTTACTTAGTAAAATGATAATGTTAATAATAATAGCAACATTTATGGATTACTCTGTGTGTGCCAGACACTAAGCATATCCCTTTAAGTTCATTATGATTTAATGCCCACAGCACTGGGAGGGAGGGAGGTATCGTTAGCCATATTTTATGAAGAAAGACTTACAGAGGTCACAAACTTTGCCCAAGTCCAAGCTGCTCCATATAGTTTTAGTTAAATTAATAAATATCTAGTCGATTGGGTCTTGTACCTTTTTGAAGCAAGTGATCATTTTAACCAGTATGCTGTGGTAGCACTAGGACAGGATTGGTATTCAGAAGAGCTGGGTTGCAGTGACCAGTGGTGTGTCTTTGGACAAAACTACCTCTGATAGTCAGTCTTCTCATCTGCGAAAGGGGGATCATACTAACATCTGACTTATGTAATTGTGTGGATCAGAGCCAAGCAGCATCCCCGGAGCATAGTCAATACTCTGTCATATACTAAGTAATATGTGTGTGAAATGAACGAATATAGATGCCCCCGTAGAGGGGTCTCCATTGAAAGAGAAAGAAATAAGAGTGCCTCCCAAACCTGCCTTTGGCTTTCTGTGCAGCACGTTTCATGTTACCCCGAGAGCTGAGATAAAATTAGAGCTAATGCAAGATTTATAAGATAATCCTATAATTAAACATCTAGTAGGCAGGTCAAAACATTTTACAGTTAATAGAAATTAAGTTCTATGTAATGTTAGAGAATTTTTAAAAACCTATATATGTACTTTAAATGGTAGCTTAATTTAAAATGTGTTTTCCCACATTTATTGAAACAGAATCTTTTAATTAAAAATTTGCTGTATTACCTAAAGGAGACTGGAGAAACCTCGAGAGTATGGCCCCCAGACACCCTTTTAGCTCAGTGGTGAAGTTACCTCCAAGGTTCACTGTTCAGCCTGGGAGTGGACAGTCCTGTAAAACCAAATGAGACTAACGAGGTGCAGGAGTCCAGTGACAAGGGCCAGAAGGCAGAAGGGGACAAG